TGTAACTGACTTACTACAGTTTTATCTGGTCAACAATTATTCACATTAGCATACATTTTTTTATGCAATTACAGTGTGTACGAACTGCTGTGACTTTTTAACAAAAAACTGTGTTTTAGTTATTTTGTTGGAATGTCTACTTCTTCCATACTTCTTTCTATACTTCATTTGTGTTTCTCTTTTAACATTTCTACTTAACTGTAGTTAATCCTCTGGATCGGCATTTATGTCTTTTAAAACATTGACCCTTACAGCATCCAGGTCTTACTATAACTTTTAACCCTTGTCTATTTCGTTAGCCATGGAAAAAAATGAACTAGGGCTGTTAAGGATATAGATACGAGTTGCTTAAACTGTGACCAGAAATTTCGATGGCGCAGTTCGAATAATATGACGAGTACTTCTACTTCCCCAAGGTGACTTAACGTTGGAGAGAAAATACCGTGATAATTCACTCTCGTACGTCTCTACTCGATGATTCACGCTCTCGACTCTCCCTTCACTGGATCTATCTAAAAAGAGGATTCAGGTCTAGATCAAATGAACAACATAAAGTGACTTCGACTTCACTTCACATATTTATTATATGAAAAAAATACCTCTCGTTCGTCCCAATGACACTTACGTAATCTCTCGATCGCAACCACGACGACAGTGGTGCGCTCAAAGAGACACTATGTCCACTTGTGCACACATACACACACACTCTTACACTCTCTTTTTTTCCACGCGACTCTCGGTCGGGGCCAGGCCTCCTCAGTGCAACTGACCGTCTGGGCACACGCACACACACACACGCTTAGTTTGACCTCTAGGACCACGGCGTGGATCACTGTCACGGCCAGTAAAAGTCACAAATACTTTTCCCAATAAACGTCCCACGCCGTCCCTCGATCTGTCACACGCATGCACCAGTGCTATGTACCTCTCTACCTTACTTTTACAATCGTACGCGCCCTCTCTTCCTCTCTCTTTCACTCAGTCCCCGACCCTACCTTACACGTTTGCCCAACTAGCCAGTCCCCACATCTCGGTGGAGGCCCGACCAGGGCGCACTCGAGCACTATTCTCTATCTCGACCTCTCGGCTCCCGCTCTCGTGCCGGTAATTACAATCGATGATTTCCCCACGTCCCTTCTTAGCCTATGCACTTAACCTTGGCGTGGTTGTACTGGTTGTACTGATAAGTTAACCTGCCGTGAATGTCAAGGGTTGTAGTCCAGGAAGTCGACAATTCGTAGTCTCTTGACCGCTCTCGTCTGCTACGCAGTGCACCTTCCTTCTTGAGCTCGGCTAGGGTCGTCGAAAAGGACGTCTCGTCGACGGGGCGACCGACGCCCAAGTAGACTTGGATTAGTCTTATTGTTCTCGCACTTCCTGCTCTCGTTTCCCCGCTCGCTCTCTCGGCACCTGGGGTGCCGACGCAATCTCTCTCACACACTCCAGTCGCGTTCTTCGCCACACGTTTTGGCCCTTTTTCCGATCTCCGTATGCATAAAAATAAGGAAAAGATGGCCGTCTCGTGTATCAAACGCGAAGAAAAAAGCAACCGAAGGAAAAATGGTGCGGATACTCTGGTTTTACTTTGATACTATGTTCTCGCTCGACAGTTACACTCTCACACTCACTCTCTCTCTCTCTCTCTCTCTCTCTCTCTCTCTGGTGCTGGTGCCCGGCCTGACGGCTTCTCATTGGCTCCGGTGTCGTTTGTGGGCGTGTCTCAGGCGATGGCACATTGCATGGTTCGTCCACAGGGTAGAAGCTTGGATGGGCTGTCCCTCTCATATTTTCGTGGCTCCTTTGCCGCAATTGTGCCGTTCCTCACCGGCCTTATCAATCGCTCGTTTGAATCTTGTAGGTATCCTGCATCTTGGCGTCGGTCTGTGATTGTGCCGCTCTTTAAGATTGCGCAACCCATTGGCCCTTCTGATGTGCGTCCTGTAGCGAATATGGCGCATTTTGCGAAGGTTCTGGACGTTCTTGTGTCGCGACAGGTGGTGGCTTACTTGGAGGGTCAGAGACTCCTTTCGCCCATGCAATCGGGTTTCCGGAGGGGCCATAGCACGCAGTCAGCTCTACTTAAGTTGACTGAGGATGTTCGCGTTGGGATGGAGGCCGGAAAGGTCACGATTTTGGTGCTGTTTGATTTCAGGCGTGCATTCGATTCCATCAGCCATGTGGTCCTGCTAAAGGCTATGAGCAGGATGAACTTCTCTCCGGACGCTATTAGGTGGTTCCACTCGTACTTGTCTGACCGATCGCAGGCCGTTGTTGGGCTGGATGGAGTGCAGACTGATTTTCTGCCGTGTACGTCGGGTGTGCCTCAGGGCTCTTCTTTGGGACCAATTTTGTTTTTAATTGTAATAGATTCTATTTTGGCGGTGTTGTCTCATAGTACGGGAATACTTTTTGCTGATGATTTGCAGGCGTATATGCAATGCAGGCCTTCAGAGGTTGCTGGAGCTGTGGGTAGGTTCAATGAGGATATCGGGAGGGTTGTAGCCTGGGCATTTGAGTTTGGTCTTCAGCTCCATTTTGGAAAGTTGCGTGCTATGCTTCTGGCTACTTGTCAGAATTTAATGCGAATTGACGTTGACGCCATACCCCCTTTGCTGGCTGATGGGAAGGTGATTCCACTTGTTAGTTCGGTTAAGGACTTAGGGGTGACGTTGTCAAGTGACCTTTCATGGAATGCCCACGTTGCAGCAGTATGCTCAAAGGTACATGGTGTGTTGTATCGTCTCCGGTATCAGGGTGGCACTCTGTCATCCCGACTTAGAGCTGCTCTTGCAGTGAGTCTTGTTATTCCCCACTTCGATTATGTCTGCTTAGTCTACATGGGTCTTTCAGGGTACCTGGCCACCAAGCTCGATCGTCTGTCTAATACTGTTGTTAGGTACATCTTTCGGTTGAGGAGGGATGCATCACTCTCTCAGTATTATAAAAGGCTGGGTTGGTTACGGCCAAGCTTTAGAAGGGAGTACTTTCTTGCTGTGTTTGCCTATAAACTCTTGGCTTCGGGTGAGCCTTCGTACTTGTTCGACTTACTCCCCCAATTTGCAGATGGGCTCCGTTGTTCAGCGCGTCGTGATCGGCCGACATTTATGATTCCCACTGCATCGCTATCGTCATACGCATCAGCCTTTTCGCAGAGACTTATGCGGTTGGGGGATACTATTCCACTAAGTATTAGGCAGGTTGATTCGCTGAACGTCTTTAAGACGACTCTTTACCGTTTTTATTTAGAAAAACAGGGGGACTGACTACTAAGCACGCTTATGTTTAAGATGGTAAGCTCTACTAAGTCATTGTGGCAAGACTGAAAATATTTTGTTACGATTAATTATTACTTGTCTTTTTCAAATCTAGGGTATACTGTAAATAAAACTAAAATTAAGTGCGACCTAATGTAAATTAACGAATATATATATATGTATAGATTGCTATGTTAAATTGTCGCCGTTCAAACTAAATCAAAATCTGTAAAAATTCTGTAACTTTTGTTTAATACTGTCGATAATATCAATATCAAAAATCTTTGTACTTCAAAAAATTGCCATTCGGGTGAAATGCCCTTGGCATAAATAAATTAGCTTTCAAATCAAAAAAAATCTCTCTCTCACACACGCTTAATGTTCGCTTGCTCTCTGCTCTCTCTTTCCACGTTCTCTCTTACAAACCTCGCACTCGATGGTCTCACACCCACTGCACACTCATCATTCGCTTCGGTCTTCTCACTCGTTGCTCGGTAGGTAAGGTCAACTCACTCTCTTTTGATCCACTACTCCGTCCCTAACTTATCCACTGATCTCTTTCATTCGTGTCACCACCGCGGCACTTACAAAACTTCGCACACACTCTTCAGACTACACCTATTGGCAATCACGCATTATCCTTTCTTCTCCTTGGAGAATGGTCACTACAACAAAGCACACAGAAAGTTACATATATACACTAGTATGATTATTTAGCTTCAGAGCAGGGTCGTCGACTGTGGCGTGGCAAACAAAATTGTGAAGCAAATTTTGCCACGTCATAATAAGAAGAAAACTTAAAAAATTTTTACTTTTATATCGTCAATATCGCAGAGAAAATTAAGTTATGGGTTGGGTCTTAAAAAAATTTTTAAATTTTTGTGGATTGCTGGTTCGTTGCTAAAAAATGCTTTTTCTTTACTACTCACTAAACAATATGGTATATATATACATTAAAAAATGACATCAAGAAAGTCATATCTTTAATTAAATAAAAAACAAGTTGCCTGGGATATTGGCTTACATTTTAAGAGTAAAAAAAAATGCCCTTTCTGAAACTTGTCACCTCTAAGTGAAAACGATCTGAATATTCGATCCCCACCATTAAAAACTATTTGAAAATTATTGCCTTCAAGAGTTTTAAGCAGAGTTTTACTTCCGACAAAGAGTAACACTTTTTAAAATGATCTATTTCTTTAGAAATCTCAGATTTTTACTTTAGTATTTAGGTTACAGTAATTTAATTACAAGTTGAAACGAGAGAATTTCAGATTTTACAAATAAGGCTGAAAAACTTTAAGTAAAATGCCTTGCACAGCTGTTTAAAATTTAAACTATTGTGTTTATGTAAAGCCTGGCAAAATTTCTAAGGATCTAAGAAAAAGTTTTTTGTTTTTCTACATTCTGTAGTTATATAAAAATTTGAGCATGTGAAAGATGCCATACAGGTAAGAATCACTAGTAAGTGTAGATACGAAAGGCACAGGGGTGCAGTAAGTGAAAACAAATAATGGTGTTCTGAATACGTGAAAACAAAACGAATTTCTAAAATAAGTTTACCATAACGGCATATAAGTAGTAAGACGTAAATATGTATAAGTACATTTATACTTGTACAACCATTTAAACATATTACCAACCACAAAATGCGACTTTTTATCAACTATAAGGTTTTAAAAAGAAGGAGCTCTAAAAATTTTAGGAATAAAAGTAGCATAAATGTATTGATTGTAATACAATGACTTATTACCTTAAATCTTTTGGTTCTAAGGCTTGAGCTGCCATACGTTCAACTATGTATTGAAAAGATTGATGGAGATAATGCGTTTCATCTTCAAGAGCTGCTCTTCCAACTTTTAATAGTTCACCGACAATCCCAACCTCACACATGAGTTGTTGATTTCTTTCTGAACGCACTAAGCTTTTAATAACTTCTGCTATGTACACTTGCAATGATAACGTCGCTTCAGGGTTTGCAGGATACGAAATAGATGGAAGTAAGTGAAGCATAGCTACAAGAACTCCAGGATGAACTACTATAGGGTCCGCTGCCAATTGACTTACATTTGCCGTATTTACCATCGAACATTTGCTGCTCGTTAGTGGATCAACTGATTGCTGATGTCCTATACATGAGTGCGTAAGATAAGGAGATTCAATTTCCAATTCAGCTAAATTTGATCTGTTAAATGCATCAAGCACTACATCATGTAATAGGCGAAATATGTAACAAGCGTTTTCGAGAACTCGAGGTACGCTGGTTGAGAGAATTGGATTTAATTTGTTCCCGGTAAAGACAGCAGACCACGAATGTTGAAAATTTATATTCAAGTCAGTATTTGTTTTTTTCAATACGGTTTCAGTTGAAAAACAACCAAGTAGTCTCAGTGTGTCACACAAACTTGACTGGCATATCTAGAAAGTAATTAAATAATATCAAACTTACACAATAATATATTGCTAGTAACTAATAGTAGAATAAAATTTAAAAAACTATTTCCTAAAAAAAAAAATAAAAAAATCGAAGTGAAATAATTTTCGGCCCTACCTACTTTAACTCTCTTAACATTGGCTTTTTGTGTTTTTTCGTAAGGCTTCCTATAACTCTATATAAGTCATATTTATCTCTATAAAGTCATACTTGTCTGGCAGTCAAAATAAGAATGCAAATATACTTTTAATAGCATGATATTCTGAATAATTACTGCGGTATACGTACGGAAGTGGTGCAGTAAAAAACTAACTGATTTTAGCTGTTGAATACTCGTTCTATTACCTGTATGTTGTAAGATCCTTAGTAAGAGTTTTAAACTAAAATAATTTTTACAAAATTTTAAGATGTTGGAAAATTACACTATGGTCAGTGTTAATGTCATAGGTTTGTATAATAAAGTACATTTTTAAGCAGCAAAATGAACCATTGAAAAAAAATGGTACGTACCTATGGTTAATATGTATAAATCGGTAATCAAATTTTAAAAAAATTATAGAATGAATAACAAACAATAACTATTTAATGGTCAGTAATAAATATTACAAAAAAATGTTAGGTAATGCTATAAGTAGCCCTATGAAATCCATACTCTTCAACAGACTTAGGAAATAATGGTACTAATCATTTCAAGTTCGGATCATAGCGTGGAAAAAATTTGTAGATGACATGTAAACGGTAATAACCCAAAATTCTAAATGATACAAAATGAAGTTTACAACAAAAGAATCGGATAGTAATCGGATCATTTTCTAGATATGATATTAATTAGGCAGATCGATGGCAGTATAATAACAAAACAGAAATCTAATACATTTAAATAGTTATCTAAATTTGTATTTTTACAACCCCATACCACAAAAAATCGGTTAAATCTATGATTTAGTTAACAGAGCAGTGAAGTTGTCAAATTACACTAATTATAGTACAAATTGGGATTATTTAAATAATGTATTAAAAGAAACTAATCATTTAAGTGAGTTTTAAAAAAAGGTTTAAGAATTAGACAAAATATTATTTAAAACAAAGATATCGTCTCAAAAACTTTTTTGAATAAAGATTAAAGATAACAACAGTTATTACGACTTCATAGTTTTACCGTACATTAAAACATGTGAATACAGTATAAAATGAGTTACAAAAAATACAATATAAAAAGTGTCTTTTAATCACAAAACAAGTTGAACAATCTCAACAATAATGAAACAGATAAAATAAATAAATTCAAAAAAATCTAGCATAGTTAACAAAGTGATCTGCAAGTGCGGTTAATGTTATGTGAGACATTCAGATACGATACCAGAAATGAGAAAAATGAACATTGTTATGATACACGTACATGTTAAGATACCTCGACATTATACAACCATATTTCAAGTAGTAATCACATATTTAAGTTTGATAAAGAGTCAATTAAAATACCTGATCATGAATCGAACTTTCACGAGCGATTAATTATTTAGTAAAGTAATATTTATTAAAAAATGATACTGTTAACTGAATTAGAGGTACACAAAATTTAAAATCCCTATACATTTTAAAGACAGTTAAGAAAAGGTACCTGTATTTCAACAATGTACAGGCAATTCTTACATTACATAGAAATTAATTTGTCTCTAATTTAAATTTTAGTATTTAAAATTAAACTGTAAGAAATATACAATATTTCCGATGGTCCCCTAATTCTATGGAGGATTTGGTTTTGATAAAATGACATGTTGTTAAGACGTTGCTTGAACAACTTTTTAAAAAAATGGTTAAGTCAAGTAGTCAATTAGTTATTAACATTAAATTATTAAAAATAGAATAAATATTCAATAGTTAAAGAAAACCTGCGATCGAAAAAAATTTTTTGTAATTTTTGAAAAAAGTATTTAACTAGATCACTACAGAACAAAAAAAATTAAATAATTAAAAACAAACGTTTAAACAAACAGTAAATTACTATGTTAATTGACAGTACGGAACGAACCACTATATATAAGTAGTATAAGGTACACACTACTAAGACTTATCTCTTCACTAAGTGTATACGGTGCTTGGATCACGTGTACGAGGTCACCGGTTTGTATCTCATGAAAAATGTTTTTTTTTTATGTTTTATGCAAAACAAGATTTTAAAATTTACTTTCTTTACTTTTTAGTCAAAATTTTTTATTTTTGCGTGACTCAAACGCATAAGGCGTCGATAAAAGTATAATTTCAGAAAAACTTTTCTATTATTACAGTGCTCAGTCGTTTTGGTCATCTGAGGTAGGGAAATGGGTTCGTGATGCTTGCCCGTTGGAGACTGTATCGTTTGCTCAAGTTTACTTTTTATTAATAGCTGTTAGGTTCACCTAGCGTAGACCTCGGAGAGCATCAGTAATTCTTCTTTAAATGCTTATAGAGTCGAGAGAGTAATATAATATAGGGTTGTCGGTCGCCAAGGTTCCCAGCCTCGTAACAAACAATTTCGCCCATGACGTCTGCCAGTAAATGACTAACTTGGTTGAATAGTGACCGCCTTTTTATAGTATTTTAGTCGACGAATCGTTGCCAGAAATGGTAGTAAACATGTATTTGTTGGCTAAGTAGTTTAATGTTGGGTGGCCTTAAAAAGAACTGATGAGATTGATGGTCAAGTAGGGAACGCAAATACTTACGATGGCCCTGAGAAGGACCAGCAGTGATACTTCTAGCCATTTCTTATTGTTATTCTTGATGACCACTGGCTATGTGGGTAGCTTGACCCTAACCCTTGGAGTCTCTGTGTGTGGAGACCGTGCTGGAAGGAGATACGCTACTGGCCAAAAAATATCTCGTCTTTGGGTCGTTCCCTGGATAACCAACTGCTCATCGGTAATAGGGAAAGTGGGCCTGGAGAATACTTCCTCTGTGAACATGCTGTTGCTACGAACCACTAAGGAGGCTGTTGTGGCTGCCCGAACTCAGGGTTGTTATCCCTGGCTTTCTGTTGTGATATAATCTACTCTGGTAGCAGCATCAGATCGGTTAGCAGAATAGCCACAAAACTCTAAATTGCTAGCGCAGAGAGTAGTGTGGCTAGACGTCTTCTTATGTTCCGCCAGAGACGTTAGCGTTCATAATGTCTTAGTATTGGTGGCTACTCGTCAAAGATGGTGGTTCCAGATGGAGTTCGACGGAAGTTGCTTGTCTAATAGAGAACAGTTACCCAGGCTCACAACTTTCAGCTCTAGGGTACATGCACTGTCGGTGAACGACTGTGTATCTGGTACGTTGATCGGGCCTAGTACAACCACACTTATTTAATTTTGTTATAGGTTGTTTAGATTTTACTTCGACGCCACCTAGCAAAATCAACTGAACTAAAGTGGAAAACTAGTGTTTTTTTGAAAATTTTTGAGCTTATTTATTGCTTTTGTTATTAATTTTTTTTAAATAAGAACTATACTAAAACTATCTAGGAAGTGTCCGATATACAAAATTTTAGAAAAATCGGTTGAGTAGTTTCAGCAGTTAGCGGTTACAGCGGTTTCAGTGACTTAGCTTTATATATAAGTAAGATTATCCATGGCTATCGAAATACCTTTTCATGGGCTAACAATGAGTTGCAATGGCTTGTTATTGATGCACAAAATTATTTTCGTTCCAAATATAAATGGATAAGGACATTCAAGCGCAAACAAAATGGCCATAGACCTCTTGTTAATGGAAGCTTTTTTTAATTCACTATTTAATTTTCTTTACGACGAGCACTATGTATACAAGGCTAGTATCGTACATAACCGCTTACCATTAATACATACACTAAGCTCAATACTAGTATGTTTTTGTATTATTTCTTTATTGTTTAAATAATTACTATTTATACGGAACATTACTGGTTTCATAATCACCAACTCTACTTAATACATTACAAATGTCAACGAGGACAATAACAACGAACTCCAGAGTGTAAAAGTAAGATAAATTGCGTGTAAAGTAAGAATATTCTTTGAGTAACAGTCGAAAAAAAGTGCTTAAAGGGTGTATCATGCAATTGTAGTCAGGTGCAAGTGCGTAATAGATTACTGGAAATAATTATTGAAAATAAATGTAATTTATGCCAGGGTCAATAGCACAATAAAACAAAAAAAGTATAAACAAATGTATGAGGACAGTTGTTAAAAAGGATGATAGAAACAAAAGAAAACGAAAGTTTAAACGTGCTTTACACAAAACCATAGAAAGTTAAACTACAAGACATTAAATACAAAAAATGTTAAGAAAGCATAGTATTAGATGATAAAGAAAAGCTGACAGTGCATCAGAAGAAATTATTGATTCGAAAAAATCAGAGCTTATTTAAAAAGGACAGTTGAGGCTCAAATTAAAGGTCTGGAAAGTTTCAAACGAAATAACATAGAACTCAAAGAAGAGGCTCTAGAGCAAAATTAAAGTAATTAACCGAATACCGACAGTGATGCCCAATCAGATTTTGAAAGTAACTTTTTAGATGAAAGTGTAAAGTAATAATATATTTTTGGAAGAGAGGACTAGTAAGTGTTTGCAAAACGGCTTGCAAAAAACTTATAATTCGTAAGCTCGAAATTAGAAGATAAATTACAAAAGATTGCCAGATTATTAACTCATGTAGATAAAGCAGCGTTCAAATTTTTTGAGCAGCTCGTAGAGCTAGAACAGATAGAAATAAAAGGATATGATTAAATTAAACTGATATCTAATTACGTACCAGAAAAGACACTAAACAGGTGTGTTTTAAATCAAGCAAGGCAATAGCAAAACAAGTGTAACTGAATAAATAGTGAGACTTAAAAAGTTAGCTCTTGAGAGTTGATTTAGCAATTTGAAAGCAAAATTGTATGGCAAATTAGTACGCAGAGTAAGAGACAATAACCTTACAATCACGCTGTTCAAGCAAAATAAGTTGACATTCAAGTGAGCAAAGAAATTAGCGGTA